CTGGAAACGATGATGCATACAATGGACTCCGGACTAGGTGCGTTTCTTTAAGTCTTCCTACCAATATAACTAGCTATACTTTACAAACTAAATACCATAGAAACTAAAAGAGAAGTGAATATAAATATAAATATATATATATATAAATAAATATATATATATATAAATGTTTAAGGCAGAATACGAAACCGTCATTACCAATTGAGAAAATACAACAGATTGTAACATCATTCGAAGGTCATCAAGATTGACTGGGATTGCTTAATCCTGCTTAATCCGTAACATAAAACTGGTTGAGGTGGAGAGCATATCTGAAGTGTTATACGAATAGCAATATAGTAATGACTATCACAGAACGTAAGATTCGAACTGCTTTCTCTTTGTAGACAACTCGATCAGGCAATTCTAATTAAATTTCGACCTATTTTCCTAGCATCTAACGCATTCTTCAATCTATTAACTTCAATAGCTTTGAGACTCAGATATAGCATGACCAAAAAAGATAATTCTCTTTTAAAAGCAGGTTTTTGAGACAAAGCAATGGATCATATAAATGAGATGTATTCAGCATATTTCGTTTAAGGCGATAGGGGGACTGATAGTGGAATTCTACCACAATGCTATGAGTAGGCCTTACGTTTCCATTGCATTTCATAGTCTTGCTTCCCCAAAAGGTATTATTACCTCAACTTGGTATCCTCAGCACCCCATTGGGATTCAAACCATGAACCACATTTTAGCTGCTATGCTAAATTTCCACGAGTGCTCTTGGACCACAGGGTAAATGTGAATTTCCCATATCACATTCGGTGGTTGGATTGCCGGTGAACTAAAGATTTATTCGCTATAACAACTGACGGCAGTATTTCTTTTTCTTTTATTATTAGGTTTTTCAGACCACTCGTAGACCAAATGTATGTCATGTGTTCAGCCTATTTCGTTTAAGGTGATAAACGGACTGGTAGTTGAATTTTCCCGCAATCATATGAGTAGAACTTAAGTTCCCATTTAATTTCATATAGCCTTGCTTAACGTTTCGAGAGTATACGCTGCTCTATCCTTGCTCGAGTCCGACTGGAGGTGTTGATGAGACGTAGGCGAGGCCGAAACTGCCGTCACCTTCAGCCTGGTTTAGAGTACCTCCTGAAAAAGCAAGGTTATGTGCAATTCAATGGAAACGTAAAGCTTACGTTCTTTGCTGTTCTTTGCTCCGCCACCACTCACCGTAAGACCAAGATTGATTTTTCAAGCAGTTTTGTGTTCGGCCAAGATATCGCGAATAGTGCCAAGGCATCTTGCAACAGCCTGATCCTGATACTGGGCTAGGTTTCACTTTAAAATAGTCACAATCGAAAATCCTTTTAATATGTAAGTCATGAGGTTATAACTGGGACCAAATAGTTCACGTGCAAAAAGTCATTTCTTACTTAAGAAATATCATTTTTAATTACGGTTAAAGGATAATTATCGCCAAGATCCTCTGTCGTCATCAGGGGAGCTATTCAGCAGAGATTTTTGCACGAAATGAAAGTCAACTCATCAATCCTAACATTTCGTCAATTAACCACTTCTCCATAAAAGTAACCATTTCTCGTATCGGTTGGTCCAAATGAACACGCACGACGTCTTTTTTTGCGCCACACAGTCTTTTTTGCTTCCCTCAACGCAAAGTAATCGCCAAACCGGCCTAGCCACGATTCCGGCCATTGTCAGGCGAGGCTTCAACCAGCGACGCCTATCTCGCACCAACAACAACGAGCCCCGGTAATTACACTTTCACGCCCACCTGGCGTCATAGTTAAGTTGCCGGCTCCGTCGAGGTCAGGCCACGGATGGAGTGGAGCATCCGAGACGTTTTGCTACTCGCCAATTTCCTTCCAGAAAATCACAGCATATGGTTCTTGGCTAGTTCGCGTTGCCATACTTTCAATCGTGTACGTGTGGGCCTGCCAGACTTGAGTAATTGCATAGAACGAAGCCAAACATAATCAAAAGAGAAGCTTAAGTGTTGCGGCTATTCGTCAGGCCGGGCCGAGTTGACTCTATTCGGGACCAAGGTCGACGGTAACCTTTAATTAAAAAGAAATAAACAATTTCTAATGCCTACGAGGCCGGCTAACGAGCTGAGTTTAGCATTTGTATGTGTTCATTCGTGACCACAAGCGTAGACTCGTTTGGATGTCGCTGACTGGCTAAATACAAACTGTTTGCCATTTTCTTTGCCTACTTTCCCGTTATGGTTGCTTTTAGGGTCAGTGAAATAGACCATCTCTCGTCATCTGAGCCCAACTCCCCCCACACACACGCACACACGCATACACGCGCACACACACCACTGGCCAGAGGGTTTCCCAATAGACTGTTAATTTTGAGCCATCATCTTCATGTCGGTAGAAAGTTAATGGTAGCTAATGCAATTTAGCAATGGTGAACAACAGTTTAGCCAACTTTGTCACAACAAACTATCTTCATTTTTATGTAGTCAACATACAAGCAATGCTTTTTTGCCCACATCTGTAGGCAGTCGCCTAGGCAGCAGTCTCATGCAGAGGGCGCCTCTTAACCTCGTGGAAGGCAAATGGCGTTGGGCTTAAAAACCCGAAAACGCTCTATATTAAGTGGCTGGAGGGGAAATGCTTCTTCTTTCGTAATCAAGTCAGCCTCTGGTCTGGTCAGCTTTGGTACGTCGGCGGGTAAAGCTGCAGTAATTCGCAGATAGTGGTCAAAAAGACCAGGTCAATTTGAGTTGTGTTTGGTATGATGTCTTGACAGAAAGTGCCCAATGAAGAGGAACCCAATACCACTAAAACAAGACATTGATGGATTCCTGTTGTCTTGGCGTGTTTTAACTATTTTTCGTATATAAGTCGGCTTTCGAGACTACCAGTAAATCAGTAATATGAGATGTATTCACCCTACTTCGTTTGAGGTAAATACATCTCATATTACTGATTTACTGGTAGTCTCGAAGCTCTACTTACATACAAAAAATAAGTAGCGTAGTCGATGATTATGACAAATATACGTTTGCTTCATCGACAATCCCACCGAAGAATGTGATATGCGAAAAGGCCTGACCTTCCTTGAAATTCACATCTGCTCTGTGACCCAACGGCACTCGTGGCAATGTGGCCGAGTGGTTAACGTGTCAAACTCACAGTCTGCACTGTCACGGTTCAACTCCCGCTGGGGGTCCACTTCTGTCTGGATGAGGACAACTTTTTGGGAAAGCAAGGCTCTGTGGAATTCAATGGAAACGCCAGCTCTACTCATATCATTGTGGGACAATTCTGCATCACCTTAAATGAAATAGGATGCATACATCTCATGTAGTTTGACTACGATGGGAGACTTGTATTTCATAGGAATGTGCATGATTAAGAGATTCATATGTCAATCTCATCAGAAGACGACGGCTGATGCCAGTTGTTCTACGGCCATTTTGCTTTAATACGCTGTTTAGGTTGGCGCAGCCCAAAAGCCATCCTCCCTCGTTTCGTGCGAAAACGGGCTGATCTTTCGTTGGTCACATTATGAACCTCGACAGAGCTGAACCTCAATCCAACACCATGACAACAGGATTGACAAGCCCTTTCCCACTTTATACATATTCATAATGAGACCGGTTTCCTATATATGGGTGGATTGAGAAAGGTCTGGTTAATTATCTTATATTGTTTTTCTTCATAATTATCTTATACTCGAATGTGTCTGTTTGATTGCGTTTGTGTGTTAATGCCCGCACTCGTAATAATGAGGAAAGAGCCTAACCTCCGCCCTGGATCGTCAAGACTTAATGTCCCAAGGAAAAAGCATGACCAAGATTGCGTTAGTCAGTAAGTAGCTCTGGTTACATTGACGAGATGTAAGCCTGTAGGCATGAAAGTAAAGTTACGAGACCACCAATCAGGACCCGTTAGTCTGGGGTATTTAAGGTTTAATAGTCCAAGGAAACGCATGGCTTGGATTAGGTAGTCTCGCCCATCTACTTTAACTGATGAGCTTGACATGCTTGCTGAACGAGTGTGAATTTGGTTATTTGAGTCGCCTCCTTTTGAATGGCAGCTTGACTCCTTCTCTCATTCAATCTTTCAATTAAGCATATGTGAGTCTTACTCAACATTCTAACACCATCGCGCACATTCAACTTATTCTCAAAACTATGAATTTCAATAGCCTCATTTATCTTGTCTATCGCAGCAACCGTACCATAATCGGCAAATCTCTGCGTCTGAGGCTATTGCAACTAATGTCCAATTTCCGCCCTATGCTCAGCCACTTCTGACCGTTCGACCAAGCCAGCTTTACATGCCTTTTCATGTCTTTTAATCTTTGTCAGATTGGCCAACAAGGCGCACAAATGTAAGTTTGATGAGAGGAGGCCAGAAACTTCTAGTGGTCGGATCTCGATAATGAGTCCTATTTCTCTCTAAAAGCAGACACAACGCAAGAAAGTGTCAGAGTTTCTTTGAAAACACTTTTTACTTCTCACTTCCTCACCAGTTCGCATGACGGCAAGATTGCAACATGAGAAAAGGTCTCAGCTGGCCAAATAGTGTCCGACTGAAAATGTATTCCTCATCAAACAGCTGTTGCTATCAATTGAGCCCTAAAGTTAATTATCTCCCAGGAATAAATGTTTCAACTGTTCCGAATCTCCAGTCAGGTGGGTGCTATCAGCTAGCCCCATATTCCTAACAATCATACATTTTTAAATTCAGAGTTTAGTTTTGTAATTATAATTAGAATAAAAATTGAGAATAAAATCAGCAATTGTTTAGCCTACTTTCATTTCGAGTGAAAGTGTTGGGTGAAGAGATTCGAAGAGGAGTTTTCCTGACTCGTTAGCTTGAATTTTGTTGTTGATAATACCTTGCTCTGATGATGCTT